TAATTGTTGTTTTAATAAAAAGGTGATTAAAGGTGCTTAACCTAAACGAATGCTACCTTAAAACTTAAATTCAGACTTTGCTGTCAGAAGCTATTCACTAAAAACAGACAGTGAAAAACAGGCCTTTCTTAGCCTGTCAGTACATAGTAACCTTCTGGTTTTTATACAAGTATATTTATTGTTTTGGTTCCATTATGTTAATATTTTTCCCTTTTCAGTATAAATTCAGTACTTGCTTTTTGGCTTAGCTTAGTAATGATTAATGTGGGTTGTTTTAAAAAGTGGGGGCAAAGTTTAATGTCTTCCTTTACTACTAAAAAAGTATATTATTTCCATTTTGTTCACAAACCATGAAAGAACAATTAGTAAGAAAAAAAGTTTGTTATCTTTAGTTTTATGAGCTGGGATAAAATGCAGTGGACAAAATTATGAGAGACTGAATAAGAGAGCTTGTTTTTTTGTTGTTGTTTGTTTGTTTGTTTTGACAGGCAGAGTGGACAGTGAGAGAGAGAGAGACAGAGAGAAAGGTCTTCCTTTTCCGTTGGTTCACCCCACAATGGCTGCTGCAGCTGGCGTGCTGCGGCCGGTGCACCCCGCTGATCCGAAGGCAGGAGCCAGGTGCTTCTCCTGGTCTCATACAGGTGCAGGGCCCAAGGACTTGGGCCATCCTCCACTGCACTCCCGGGCCACAGCAGAGAGCTGGACTGGAAGAGGAGCGACCGGGACAGAAACCGGCGCCCCTACCGGGACTAGAACCTGGTGTGCCAACGCCACAGGTGGAGGATTAGCCTATTAAGCCACGGCGCTGGCCTGAGAGCTTGTTTTTTAAGATTTATTTTTATTTATTTGAAAGGCAGAGTTACAGAGAAGGGAAGGAGAGAGAGAAAAAGATCTTCCTCTATTGGTTCTCTTCCAAAATGGCTGCAACAGCCATAGCTGAGCCAGGCCAAGCCAGGAGCCTAAAACTCCCTCTGGGTCTCACACACAGGTGGCCATTGGGCCAACCTGTGCTGCTTTCCCAGGCATATTTGCAGGTAGCTGGATTGGAAGTGGAGCAGCTGGAACTCAGCATTGCAGGTGATGGCTTACCACATTGTGCCACAGCACCAGTTCCAAGAGAGCTTCTTAAGGAATGTGTTTGACATTCTTATTTTTAATAACTCCACTATTGAAGGATGTTATTACTGGATACAAGTATATATATTGTTTTATATCCATTATTATTGTCATTACCAGTTTTATTTTTGCTATTTCTGAGTGGAGTACTAGTTTTGATTTTTTTGTTTATTTTTTGTTTTTAATGTTGTTTTTTATTTTCACAGCTTTTAAAATCTAGGACTCCTCGTACTTTTCACCACTCCTGTACTTGTAGAACATTTGATTGTCAACAGTATTCTGTTCTACCTTCATCTTCCACTTTTCACTCAACATACTGTTTTCAGCCACTCCTATTGTTCCCTCAGACACAGTGTTCTTTCTTTTCTTTCTAGACCTTTACATTTTGCTGGAATATTCTTTAAGCTCAAATGTAACTGCCTTTATAATACCAGTCAAGATTAATTCTTCTCTCTTACTTTCATAAAACTTTATGCATAATTGCTTAATCTTATCATCTCAAGAACTAAGGACAAGTAATACTCATCTCTGTATAACCCAACAGGCTTATCCTAGGCTCACAGAGCCCTCGTTACTAACCTGTGTGACAGATACCCAGGTGCTGGGGTCAAATATTTTAAATTTCATGTTATGTTGTCTCATTTTCAAACTGTGTATGGCATTTGGGTGGACATGTGTGTGGAAAGTCCAATTAATAGATGACGATATTAATGGAGGTTAGATTGCATTGAGGATTTGAAAGTATATTGGAAGTTTACTTTCCAGTGGTGCAAATACCATGCTATAGTGTGCAAATGATGGTACATTAAGCCACTGTGACATGGTTTTTATAGCTATTGTTGAAAACCTGCATGAGACTTTTTTTCATATTGAGAGCATTTCACTCAGGAGACCTATACACCAGGTTTACAAAAACTGGTAAAATCAGATGAATTCTAAAATCACATTTTCAAATAAATTGGCTTCTTTATTCCAAAGCTTTCATTCAAAGCAACCTAAAATGTTGAATTTTTTAATAAGCTATAAAAATAATATGTAAGACATTTGTAGCGTCTTACAGGGATATGGCTGTTTAAGTAAAAATATTTTTTATTTTAAGATTTATTTATATATATATTTATTTATATATATCTGTCTGCCTGTCTATTTGAAAGGCAGAGTTTCAGAGAGAAAGTGAGATTTTCCATCTGCTGTTTCACTCCTCAAATGGTCAGTGACTGAGGCTGGGCCAGGCCAAAACCAGGACCTTCATCCAGGCCTCTCATGTGAATGGCAGAGACCCAAAAACTCATCTGCTGCATTCCCAAGCAAATTTGTAGGGATCTGGATCAGAGGTGGTGGAGCAGCCAGGACTCAAACCAGTGCTCATGTACCTGCTGCACTTAACACCGTCCCCTAAATCAAAGTGTTTTTAAGTCAGATTATATTACAGTGAATCTTGCCAGATTATCCACTGTTGATTGTTTTCATTTTACTTGATTATAATTCTGCCAGTTGATTCTAAGAAGTTGTTTTTTTAGTCCATAAACAGCTAAGCCAAAATTGTGATGCTGCTATATATTTTTGTTTGTGTTGAGGGGGCATTTCCAACTCAAGAAACGGTCTTGTGTTCACCTTCACTTCCATCCCTGTCTTTTTTTCTCTTAGAGTTGGAAATGTGTCAGTATATGCTTGGATGGTTTTGGGGATTTGGGGTACAAATTTGAAATATTTGTCATGTGTTCACATCCCGTTTCCATTCCTGTCTTTTATTTTCTTTGAGATAAAAATGTGTCAATGTATATTTGGATTATATTGGAGATTTAGGGTATGAATTTGAAATATCTGTCCTTTGGTGAACTGAAAATATTTAAAATAGCAATATATATATATATATATATATATATGGTATTAACAGGAAAACAATTTCATTGGCTTTTAGCTGTCCACATTTCTTTAGGCAGTGCTGTAGTTCAGTTCATCGTTGAAAAAAAATTTTTTTCACTACCCTGAAGCAAAATGGTTAGCTATTTTTATCTGGTTTCTTTCATTTAAAAAAAATAAAGATGGAGAAATTGTGGTATCTTCTAGTAATTTACATGAGCCTGGAGCTAATTGGTGTACCTAAAGTAATCCTTTTAGGTTCAGGAGACAAAACACAATTCATATTCTGTGTTCAAAACTTAACATTATAAATTATCATTTAAATAAGTAATAAGTGCACTTAGTAAAAGTAAAAATATTCTTGATTTACTACTTAAATTACCAGTAGTGCCTTTAGCTTATGTATGACCTTAATAATAAAATGAGCACATAGGCAAAGCAATTACTAAATCCTAATTTAAGGATTGATCTTTTAGTGTAAGTTTTCAAACTATTATCTAAAGGGCTTCTCCCACGCTGGTATTTTTATTTTATTTTATTTTTTGGCCATTGACTGGGCCAGTTTCATAAGGCATGTAGCCTCTTCAGATGCCTTTAGTGTCTTGCTGTTTCCAATTTGAAATTTGTAACTTATTAACAAGTGGCCCTATATATTCTTATTTTGCACAAATCATATAGGGTCCCCAGAAAAAACTAGTTTTTCACTTTTTTATTCATTTATTTATTTTGGAAAGGTAGAGAGAGGGAGGGAACAGAGACAGCCAGAGATCTCCCATCTGCTAGTTAACTTTCTAAGTGCCCACAGTGGCCCTGACTAGGCCAGGCTGAAGCCAGGAACCCAGAGCTTCATTCAGGTCTCCCATGACAGAGTCAGAGACCAAGTATTTGAGCCATCATTCACTGCCTACCCGGGTGCCCATTAACAAGAAACAAATTGAAGGAGAGCCATGACTACTGGTATATCTCAAGTAGTGGTTTTTGGCCGGTGCTGCGGCTCAATAGGCTAATCCTCCGCCTTGCAGCGCCGGCACACCAGGTTCTAGTCCGGTCGGGGCGCCAGATTCTGTCCCGGTTGCCCCTCTTCCAGGCCAGCTCTCTGCTGTGGCCAGGGAGTGCAGTGGAGGATGGCCCAGGTGCTTGGGCCCTGCACCCCATGGGAGACCAGGATAAGTACCTGGCTCCTGCCTTTGGATCAGCGTGGTGCGCCGGCCACAGCGCGCCAGTTGCGGCGGCCATTGGAGGGTGAACCAATAGCAAAGGAAGACCTTTCTCTCTGTCTCTCTCTCTCTCACTGTCCACTCTGCCTGTCAAAAAAAAAAAAAAAGAAAGAAAGAAATCAAGTAGGTTTTTTTTTTTTTTTTTTTAGATTTATTTATTTATTTGAAAGTCAGAGAGAGAAAGAGAGAGAGATCTTCCATCCAATGGTTCACTCCCCAATTGGCCGCAACGGCCAGAGCTGTGCCGATCAGGAGCCAGGAGCTTCTTCCAGGTCTCCCACGCAGGGGCCCAGCCAGAACTTGGGCCATCTTCTCCTGCTCTCCCAGGCCAGAGCAGAGAGCTGGATCAAAGAGGAGCAGCCAGGACTAGAACCGGCACCCATATGGGATGCCAGCACTTTAGGCCAGGGCGTTAATCCTCTGCGCCACAGTTCTGGCCCCTCAAGTAGTGTTTTAACCACTAGGCTAAAAGCCCTCCCTTAGTTTCATAGGAGATTATCATGACCACAGCATAGTAATTATCTCATATTAACCAAATCTATGATCCTGTAAATTTGCTCAGCTGTAGAAGAAATCATTGCAAACATATTTTATTTGACTACATTTTAGGAGAGCAAAATGTAGCTGACTTGGATTACCTACATAATGAACTTTAATATTACCTCATAATAGAGAGCTTTTGGGATTTGTCATGTAAAACAAATCCTGTCTTTTTAGAACACAAAAATACTTGCTTAAAATACCGGAACACCCTATTGAATTAAGTAAACTCAAAGCAAGGTTTAACTCATTGTGCCATTACAGGTTATCAAGTTATACCCAACCAGCAGCAAACCTACCAAGGAATAGTTGGAGTTCAGCAACCCCAGAGTCAGAACCTAGTCAGTGGCCAGCCCAGCAACATTGGAAATCAGATTCAAGGGGTGGTCATCCCCTACCCTTCAGTGCCATCATATCAGGTATGTTGTCTTTCTTAACTACTTTGATAGCAATAATTTTCAGTAAGTTAACAGTATATCTACAGTGCTTCTATAGAAACTACAGAATTGATAACAAGAACTGAAGGATCCATTATGTCCATGTGGTTTCATATAGATAATTTAGAAAACAAAGAATTGAAAGTCCACTGTTAACTGAATGCCTGTTATACTAGATCCTTAGATTGTGCTGTCTCAGAACAGAGTTAATAATTTCCTGTGACTGAGATGGCATTTCCTTTGTTTCAGATAAAGAACTGAGGGACCTCAGAATAGTTAAGTCATTTACCCAATGTGTAAAAGTAACATGCTGGAGCTAATCTCACATCTTGTTATCTTCAGCTCCAAAGCTCTCACTCTTGCTGATTGATTGTGCCTCAGACACCTTATCTGAATCTTACTTGTTCCACTGAGGTTAATTGCTCTTTTCATTTCTGATGCTCATCCTTACTTGGAAAGGTTCTTTTTCTTAAATAACTTACAGACATAAATCATATTTGTTCATAATCTAAGGTGTGTAACTTACTGTAAAATTGATAAATGCTAACCAAAACCAGTAACTGACTCAAGGAAACATAGAAATAAAGTGGTAGTGCAATGGCTAACTTATTAGGAAAGCCTGTTGACAGTGTTAGCTTTTCCTGGATGCTCATTCTATAAACTCTGAAGGCTGGAAACATAAACATTTGCAAAGTTTTTTTCCCCTTTAAACTGTCTTTCAAATTTTAGGTTTCACTGCCTCAAGGTTCTCAAGGAATTGCCCATCAGACCTACCAACAGCCTGTTATGTTCCCTAGTCAGTCCAGTCAAGGATCTATGCCCACACCAGGAATGCCAGTTTACTACAGCGTCATTTCACCTGGCCAACAAAATAATCTAAGGTAAGACCAAGAAACTGACCCTCTAGCAGATAATTATTTATCAGCGTTATGGTCTGCTGCTAGTTTTAAAATCAACAAAGAGGTATTACCTGAATTTTTTTTCTAATGTTGAAGAGGCAAACCTTAGCAGCAAAATATCTTGCTAGAACTTTTCAGGCTGTGGGGAGCTCATTTTTTATCAAAAACGGCAGAGAACATATAAGAGAAGCAATGAACCAGAAGCTCTATATTAAAGCAAGTCCTGAAGTACTCATCAGCTGCTTTGTCTTTGGAAGAGCAAAAGTACGAGCCTAATGTGTTAAAAATAGTCATCTTCCTTTGAATTTGTTCCCTCTAGTCCATCATTCAGAATTTATAAAAAGCCTTTTGTTTATTCTCATGACATCCCTATGAGATTGTCAGATAGGCATCTGTGCTGTGTGAGGACCTAAGTTATAATCACTGATAAGAAGTTGTTGACCTCCAGTTATGGTTACAGATGGCATTTGAGGATAGAAAAGGAATTGATGTAGCTTATTTCTTTGAAATCTGCATAGAAAAATGGAGGCTTAGTTTTTAACGTTATTTGCTGACAGTACCCCAACAAGAGGAGCTCACATATTTCTCTTCTTACTGTCTCTGTAGCTGCCAATGTTTGAATGTGTGATTGAGGAGACCCAGGCTTTTTGAATGACAAGTTCATTGTGAATCTTACAGGCAACTTTGAGATTTTATGTTATTTTGAGACCCAGTTCTTTTGAAGTTGAGCTACTGCTACATAGTGAAAATGGCATGTGTACTCAGTCCATTTTCCAGTTGTTGTGTGAGTTTAAATTCCATAAATAAGGAGAAAATCCTCTCAATTTTAGATTTTCTTTTTATTATATCTAAATTTGAGACCTAGAATGCTAATTCAGTTTCTGAAATGTCACCTGGAGGCAGAATTCTATGCTAAAGTAGGTGAAATAAAGGATGAGAAACTTGCCTAATTATCTCCATTTCAAGGCAGAGAATAACCTTTAGTTGATCAGGGAAAGCTACCAAAGTAGTCAATAATATATAGGGCAGAGGCTGAGAGAAATAGCTGCTACTTGATCTGGTGCCTCATTGGGGACCAAAAGACACCAAACATCATTTACTTCTTGGGGCCTACGTGCTTGAAAGAAGAGTTTCCGTGAAAGAAAATCAAACCTCTAAGAACCTGTTTAAGATATTTTAGATTTAAAAACTTTATTATGTTTTTTGTATTTGTTAATACCTTGAAACAAACAAACAAAAAAGATCTTGTATATACTTGACTTCTGAAGGCACTTAGCCCTAGAAGTGATTATAGAGGGGAGAGGCACAATTTTGTAACTGCTTCTGCAGCCAGACTTAGAGCGTGATGACAAAATCCAAAAGCTTTCAGATGAGTGCTGATGACCACAGTTTGAAAAGAACAATAGTTGTAGCTTCCTGGGCCTGTTACTGCAAAAAAAAAATAAAGATAAAAATTGGAGTGGCCTGGAGCACAGCAGTTAAAAGATCTGTGAAGATCTTCAACAACCTTTAACTTGAAATCTTGATTGCAAAGTCGAATTACTCACAGTTTAGGGCTGTGACCCAAAAAAGACCCAAATGAGCTGGCTGTAAGTTGATGGTAGTCCTTGGTCACCATGTTAACAAACTGACATTGACTGGCATTGATCTGTTCTACCTATAGATTAACAATGTGAGAAATGGAATAGATAAAGCAGGGAATGTGTATTCTGTCAGACTTGTATCATGGAACCTTTTGCACCAGTTATATGATAGAAAGTCAACTCATGCAGCATTAATCAAGGATCCTTTGGATAAAAATTATTTGCAATTAACAGCATTTTTCTGAATATAACGTGTTCTCTACAGGAAATTTTATTTATGCTTCTGGATAGTAGTTAATACACAAATCACCATAATACTCAAATTTACTTGGAACTGTTACTTAAATATCAACTGTTGGTATTTTTTATTAATCTCATAATTGAATTACCATCCAAGGACTAAATTATAACAACCAGTTCTTTATAAATCTAGATTTACTAGCTGTACAAAGTATATTTTAGGCAAGAAAGTTTATTCTCCCTTATATTTTCTAGCATAAATGAAAAACAGAGGTTAGTCTGGAGATAAGCACCTAGAGCAAGGCCTGACTCAGAGTATTAGCTGACTAAATCTATCATGTAAAAGCACATTTTGAGAGCAGGAAAGGCCAGTTTGCATATGGATATGTACATATATGTAATCAGTTGTTGGCTTTAGCATTATTGTTTCTGTAAGTATGTAATTTTTAAATTTTTCATTAACTTTTTAAAAGCTATTATTGAACAGTATTAGAAAATCATTGAATTCGTCTTCCAAGAAAGAGAACATTAATTATTACCAACCAGCAAGGAGATGTGTTAGAATAATAAAACGCAAATCAATCTCCCCATTAAGAAAAGACTTTGGAGTAAGGGTAAATGGGATGTAACTGAGTGAAACTAAGTGACTGAACATGATAGGTACAGAAGAAAGAGGTGGAGAAAATCTTTCAACATGCAATTAACGAACGATTCCACTACATATATCACATGTTCAAAGACGGCCAGTGAAACATCATTGGAGATATGTAATGTGTCAATATAATGAACCATAATTGGTACAGGTGTTGCAGGTTAAGGTGCTGCCACTTGGGACACCTACATCCCAAATTGAAGTACCTGGGATTGGGTTCTACTTCCACCTCTGATCCAGTTTCCTGCTAATGCACCTGGGAGTCAACAGGTAATGGGTCAAATACTTGGATTCCTGCCACACACATGGAAGACTTGGATGGAGTTACTCGTTCTTGGCTTCAGCTTGGCTCATCTCCAGCCATTGTGGTCATTTGGGGAGTGAATCAGCAGACAGGAAATCTCTCTTCCTTCTCTCTGTGTCGTTCTGCCTTTCAAATAAATGAATAAACATTTCTGAAAAACTAATGACTCATAAAGTAACCCTTCAGTCAGTCTGACTTGATCTGGGCCAGCTCAAGTTGCAATGTTGGCTGTAACCAGTTATGTCCATTTTTATCAGGGACCCTAAAAAGACAGCGCAGCAGATTTTTATCAAAAATGCCTACTATAGAATAGCAAGCTACTGTGCAACCAGCAAATGACTATTACAGGTTTTTAGTATGTTAGCACATAGAAGCTTGCTTGGTGGTAAGCAAGGAGAAGGGGATCCTTTATTGTCTACCATTTCAAAATTGCACAATAAATAATGCTGTTGACACAAGTGAATCAGAACAAAGATGTATAAAAGGGACATTAATCATCATACCCTACTCCATCCCCATTCCCACAGGTAACCAACATTCACAGACCTAGTGTGCATCCTATCACATTGGCCTCCTAACTAATTAGTACATGCACATATATAGGAATTAGGTGATAGATTTTAGTGAAATACACATTATCTTGCATTTTCCCCTTAATAATATATTGTGAACATTAAGTTTGTAAATTATTAACCCCAAAAATTTGATTTTTATTTCTGATTTCTGATCATTTCATGCGTGCAGTTTTCTTCTAAACTTTTGTCTCCCAAGCACTATCACAAGGGCTTTCTTTCTCTCTCTCCCTTTCTCCCTCTCTACACGAACATACTGGGTAACCCATGTTGCTCTCCCTATTTGGATATTCCTCACTTTTCTCCTTGCAGTTCATCATATATGAATACAGATAACAGTGCAGGAACATGAGCAAGATTTGTTAATGCACAATACTCGCACACAAAATTCAGTTTATAAAGTTTTACATATAAAATGTCTACAATTTTTTTAATATGGCCACGTCATGTCTGACAAGTTGTGATGAAATTTAATCCATAGGGGCCAGTGCAATGGCTCACTTGGTTAATCCTCCGCCTGCAGTGCCAGCATCCCATATGGGCACCAGGTTCTAGTCCCGGTTACTCCTCTTCCAGTCTAGCTCTCTGTTGTGGCCCAGGAAGGCAGTGGAGGATGGTTCAAGTGCTTGTTCATTATATGTTATATGTTATATTATATGTTATATGTTCATTATATTGTCCCTGCACCTGCATGGGAGACCAGGAAGAAGCACCTGGGTCCTGGCTTCAGATCAGTGTAGCTCCGGCGGTAGTGGCCATTTGGGGGGTGAACCAACAGAAGGAAGACCTTTCTGTCTCTTTATCACTCAAAAGAAAAAAAACAGAAATTTAATCCATAAAAATTTAGTGTTGCAACTGATAATTTTATTTATTTATTATTTTTGCCAGCCTGCATTTTGCTTCTTTCACCATCCTATAGTTGTAATACCCTTAGGACATAATCTGGATGTTTATCCAAATACATGCCATTTTCCTTAGGCTCCTCATTATGGAGTTTCACTGCTCTGGAATCAGGGCTTGAGTGGATCCAAATAAGCTAATTTTGCAGATAACAAAATCTTACATCATTAAACACTAGCTGTTGGGTGGCAAGATACGGTTAGAAGGTCGGCTTTGGAATCAAACAAACCTGCCTTCAACCCTGTGTGAACTTAGGCAGTTTAGTGTCCTTATACCTTGGGTTTTTGTTGTTTGTTTGTTTGTTTTTAAGATTTTTTTTTTTTTTACTTGTAAGACAGAGTTACAGAGTGAGAGAAGGATAAAAAGAGAGGGGGTGGGGGTTTTCTGTTTACTGGTTCACTTCCCCAAATGACTGTAGCAGCCAGGGCCAGATTAGGCCAAAGCAAGGAATCAGGAACTCCATTGTAGTCTCCTACTTGGGTTGCTGGTACCAAAGAACTTAGGCCATCATCTACTGCTTTTGCAGGCCCGTTAATAGGGAGCTGGATCACAAGTGGATCAACCAGGACTTTAACTGGTACTTAAAGGGAATACCAGTGTTGCAAGTGGAGGCTCAACCCAGTAAGACACAACACTGGTCCCTGGTTTTCTTATTTTAAATAATAAGGAGTAATACCTCACAGGAGAGTACGGGAGGTTGTGTGCCTAGGAATTTGTGTATGGAAATCATT